TGAATCTAGATACGGATAATATCGTATTAGTAAAATCCAACCAGTGGTCTATTATCAATGCTGCGTTCTGATTGGTTGAGCTACTACCAGGCTGTATGTTATAACCCACTAGTAGCGAAAAGCGCCGGCTTTGAAACCCAAACAATGGCGACTGAATCGCGTTTTGGTAGCTAAAGTTGCTTTGTCTCGATATTTTTGACCAAATAGCTGGATTTTACTGAAACAATTATTCCTCTCGCCTTTATGGCCTCTGAGTCAGAGCCCATTCGGGCTTGAGGAATAATTGTTCAATATCTGCCGATGATGTCGTCACTTGTTATATTCCTAGACTTTCACTCAACTATACAGGGACTGTCATCGCCTGATTCTTGGTCACATGACCTTGCATAAAATCAAATGTATCCCCATCGTGATACATTTGAGCAATTGTACCCCACTCGGGATACATTACAGCACGTGATCAAAGCATGGTGGAAAGTGGTGTGACAGAAGGCGGGAAAAACACTGCCAGTTTTCTTTTTCGTGAATGTACACAACAACACAAACATGAAGCCTCAAGCCAGGGGGGGCTGCCAGCGAGGTCTGGAACCGAGTTTACATGATCGCCCCAGTTAAGAAATTCGGCCGAGTGAGACTGAGTACAAATTTTCCTTGAAAACAAATATGGCGGAGAAAGCAGACATGGAAGGACGATGAGTGTTTGCTAGGTTTTAAGTTTTCCAGCGTACAAATATTAAAAAAGGTTTCTATGAACTTTTTTAATGGACCTTTTGGACATTAGGAGGCGTGATGTATGAACAGTTCATGGGTGACTTCACTTATCGTGATTCGGGATCTCGGCAAGTTCAGTTTTTTCAGCTTCGTGAATTTTCGAGCGACCATCTTGCTCCATCTCATATTTTTCCACTTACAGTGGTATTAAGACTCTCTTCCTTATCTTAAACATATGCTACGAGCACAATATATTTGTATGAGTCTTGCAACAGTCATATGTGAATGTTCCTTAAACCACTGATTTTCTACTTCGCTCTTCGTAAGTTTGTTTGTGTACACCGGGAGGCACAACAAATATTTATGGGCGTAAATACAGAATACAGGGCCAGTCTAGTGAAAACCAGGGTAAATGTTCGAATCACTTTGCTTCACATATACTGGGTCTGTCAGTATAAGCTGTTTTTAATATCAGAAGGCTGGGAGGGGATTACTGAACCTTCACTGGAATGTCATTGGAGTGATAATAAATTTCCAACAGCAATACCGTATTTAGTAGTTTTGTATTAAATAGTGACTTCGGTTTCAAGTATTTCCTTCAAATTGTTGGTAAAAAAATTACCCTTTAGTTATGAATTATACTTGAAATGATTATAGTGGCTTAGTGTAAGAACAAGAGGCTAATTCGGTTGCTAATAAGAGTGAGTACGTGTACACCAGGAAAGGGTATGCGTTGAGAAAATCCCTCAAAGGACTGAAGTACAAGAAATAGAAAAAGGAAAACTGAATGTTTTGCAAAGTTTTTAAAGAGAATCAGAAGAGGCTTGAAAAATGTATAAGTTATGAATCTGATTTACAACTAAATTATACAAGGTAAAATTGATTTTTTGTCAACCATCAAAAGAAGTTATTGTCGGGCTTGAGCCCTATCCTCTCAGCAGTTCTTTCTATGATACTACCCTTGGCTTATTTGGCCTAGATGGGTATGTGCTGCTGATTTAGGGTGGTGGCCATTTTACCCTTTAGAGTTTTGAACAAGGTGTCTGGTTGGGTTGTGAAGGTTGAAGAAGAAGCGGTCAATAGAGTACAGTCTATTGGTACCACCATTTTTTCCCCCAAGTTTTGCCATGTTTCTAAGTTTAAAAGCTACCTTAATTCTGTATGCTAAAGGAAATGAATCAGGATTATAAAAGGTCTCTTGGCTTAAAAAGGGTTGGGAAATGCACAATGTGTCCTACTACCCATACTTTCTTTCAGTGTAAGCCCCAGGGAGGTGATCTCACATTTTAATTCCCTTTTACCACTTGTTGTAACAGCAAAGTCAGTGAAGGTTTATGGTCTCTGAAAAATATTTCTGCCAGCCTCAACACAAGTTTCTAACTGTTATTGTTGACTGCAAATAATATTACCTTAATAACCATTTTACATTTTTTTTTCCAAGGCATCCTATAGTGTTTTCAATATCCACTAGTACAAGGCAATTTTTAAGTTGAGAGGGTTTACTTTGATTTGATTAACAGTAAACTACATTTTTACACAGACACAAACTAACCTGGCAGGTTGATGTCCAAAGGTGTAAAACATTACATGCAACTATATGGCCAAAAATGATCTCAGTGGCCAAAGGAAAGGCAAAAATAGAAATGTAACCATTTTTTTTAATTTTATAAATTCCCTTTGACACATATTTAGCCAGATGTAGTCCTTGTCAAAACATGCAAACTTGAACATTTATTTTCTGACCTTAGCTAATCTTTTTTAAACCAAACTCTTGTTCCAGTAGGTAGTGTAGATTTTGGAATAAAATATTTATAATGCAACAAAACAAAAACCAATTGAACGAGGACTCAAACTGAAGGCAGTGTAGTAACTGCTGTCATGAAAAGAGAATTCCAAACACACAAAATAATTACCCTCTCATTTTCCTATATTCATTTCTTAGAAACTACGGTAAAGTTTAAATAAAATCACACGAAGGGCAAAATTTATTTAGCTTTTAGTACATAATAAAATACATGAACTACGAGATTTGACCATATGCCACTCAATCATCCAACGCAACTCTGCCAGGATAAGTTCACAATCAAGGATCAAGAATTAAATATAAACTCTTCAGACATACGCATTGGAGAGTTGGCCCTTCTTCTAGTCTTGTGTGTCTTCTAAACAGAAACACAACTTGAAAGCCTGTAGTGAGCCAAAAGGTCGGGCATCGAGGATCATGTACATGTACAATGACTGTTCACTGGTCTCGTTCTTAGCGTAGTAAACCGCATGTAATGACAAACGCAAGACCAGAAGAAAGGAAAACGTAAGCTCCACATTACTACGAAAAAAATCGGTTACAGCAAAGAAAGCAATGACCAACAGGACCAAAAGCGAATTCACTTCACACTGTCGAATCGCTGCGAAGACGAACTCCTTGTTGTTGTTTCCCAGCCTGTTTCGCGCGTGCTCGCTACAGTTCTCGAATGATTGACAGATTTCTTAACTGGGGCGATCATGGAAAGCCGAAAAGCGGCACGATCAAAGGCCGTTGCCAGCCCCCCCTGCCTCAAGCCAAAAAGCAACGATTTTCCAAGTTATCCCAGAAGGGAAACAGCAGCTAGTGGAAGAAAAAGATGCAGATAATATAAGGAAAGTACTTTGGATACTTTGTAAATCATTCGTTTAGTGGTTTAGAGAATTATATTTGTGTTCTTATAAGTACCGAGTGGACTGTTTTGATTCGCTCCGGTTTTATTTTTTTGTTGCTGTTGAAGTGAAAGTCTAGCGATATAATAAAACACTTAATGTTAGGTCCCTCGGGAAACTAGTTAGTTTTGTTTTCCCTCGAGTCCTGATGTTTCCCTCGACTTCCTCTCGGAAAACTTCAGGATTCTCGGGAAAACAACGCTATCTGTTTCCCTCGGGATCTGACATTACAGCAGTTACCACCAACACGCGCCCTCAAAGTGTTTTTCATTGGGTTCAAACCTGCGGTGACGTCCATGAAAACTCGGGTTTCAACAGAGAGAAAAAAACCTTCGAGGGCGAGTGTCAGTGGTAACGGCCGTAAGTGTATAGTGTACAATAACTGCTGTTCAACATCTAAAATTTTCAGAATGTATGTTTGTCTTAGGTGCCGCGGATTTAAATCCCAAACGTATAATTGTTCATATACTGAGAGGAAGTTTTTTCCTTCGCAGAATACACATGCCAGGAGCTTGGTCTACAGAATATACCAGCATTCAATTATACCTCGTTATCGGCAATAAAATGCAAGCCACATAGGTATATTGATTATACATGTTATGTGGCTAATATATTTTTCCATAATATGTCATAAATTTCAATCAGTGGAGATACACCCTGGTGAATAAGTCACTCTGACGTCATTTGTCCGCTGTGCTACTGAGGGTGCTTCCTATTGATCTAATTCCGGAAAAAGAATACGCAAACGCTTTGCTGCAAAACTCTTGCACCGTCCTTTTTTGGGCCACTTAAACGCTGCATTAGTCGGGATATCTAATTTTAAGCATTTTTCTGGTTAATTATTGCAGAGCTATGAACGCCAAAATGAGTGATTTCAAGACTTTATTCCATCTCCTGATTCCATTTAGTCTTATTCCGGAATACCGTCAGTTGAACACGCCCTTATAATGTGCTACTTCAGCTAGATATATCATCATAGGTAGATCATTAATTCCTCCCGTCAGACATCTTTAATTTTTCTTACATAACTAACATTCTGATGATGGACGACATGGAGTCATCGAAACGTCGTGTTACTTTTTTATCATTGATTTTTCTTTTAAAATAACTAACATTCTATTTATTTTATCTTTGCACATAACATATCTTCTTGGAGATGCGGCCAACTGTCTCTCGTCGGACAGTCATGCCCCTTAATCGAACACTTTTGGTTGGACCTTGCCATTCTTCAACCATTTTGTTTGCTCTGTAAAACGCAGACAATTCTCCTAAGATGGACAAAACATTTTCTGTCCTAATGGTGTTCCTCTTAGAGCGAGTTGACTACACCTTAAAGAACTCTTTCATATGGCGGCCTATTTAAATACTCTTTTGCATGTATGTTAATAAGACCTCGATTGAATTTAAAACAATTCTTTCGTATTTTGCACAAGCTAACGAGGCCAGAAAGGCTAATTATCATACATATAAAAGAATATATTTATAGGCCGCCATTATCAAAGAGGTCCAAAGTATTCATTTTCACTTTTACTTTTTATAGACCGAGTAGAGTCGGATGTGCACAAGCCTATAAATATTACGGACGTCCAGGACACATGGAACACCGTAAATGTGACGAGACTCGTCACCCTGACATATGTTCGTTTAAAGACACAAACTCTGGAATTCATAGACTTTTATGTAACGCCGAGGTTTGTGGGTCATCGAATATCACCATAGGCTCTGTGAATGCGGCAATGGGCAAAGTCACTGACTGGATTCCTACATCTAAGGAGATAATAACTCGAACAGTACAAGAAGCCGTAAAAACAAACCAAACAAACGGCTTTGGCTTTCTGTACATAAAGTGTGGGGATATTCTTCAGTCGCTCATCTTTCCACCGATCCTAAAGAAAGTCGAAAATAACAGCGACAGAAACAACATAAATGTTAACGTGGTTGTGTTGGACTCTGTGGCAATACCGCATTTTTATCGAATTCTTCCAAGATCAGTGGCGGTACTCCGCAGGATTGCACAAGATCCCAATATCAAGGCGACTGCGTTGGATTTTGAATTGTTCCAGAGCGTTGGTCAACAGACTTTTGACAACATGAGGCCTTTTTTTTCTGGTGTTATCAAAGGTAAGCGTTGCGGAGTGTCCATATCATTCAGGCCCCGTTTATATGGAGAAAACCCGTCGCGGGTAAAAGGGTCTCTCGCCCAGCCGACCTACCCTGGGTGAGCCAACGTTTCATACATTTCCATGCAGAAGGTGGAGAACGGTTTACATGAGAAACATTGAATACAGTGTTGTCTCCAATAGAAGGGTGACCCGAAGCTCACCTCCTTTTTCGATCGTAGGGTCACCCTGTTCTGTCGTGAATTGTAATAGCTGTAGTAACTTGTAATACCAGTTGTCGAGAATTGTAATAACCAAGTTATCGTAAATTGTAATAACAGGTTGTCGTAATTTGTAATAAGCCTAACTGTCGTGAATTGTAATAACACATTGTCGTATTTTGTAATGTCTTGAAAATGAACAGTTATTCACCAAAAATACTCTCATACATAACGAAATGAGGCTCGACAGGAATCCCACAATGCAGCTCATCATGAGCTCATTGCTCACGGGCTATTTCCAAGGTCCAAAACCTTTCTTGTGAAAATGAGTTTTGTTTGCATGAGAATAAAAATCATTTTCATATCACTGACTATGCACTTAGCGTGCCTTGAGACAGGGGCTTGGAGCAACTCGTGATTGGCCTAGAAAATTTGAGCCCCCTTAGAGCTTGAGGACAGACTCTATAACAGTTTGAAAATTTCACAATTTACAAAATGAGATTTGTATGGAAAACCACTCAATCGCAACAGGGTGGCAAGAGATGTTTTTCCCATAAAGTTCCAACACTATGCTAGTCGTTTTCTTCTTTTTGTTGACTTTTTGAGGTACGAGTAGTACATATAAAGTTCACTAACTGGATGTATAAATACACGAATGATGCGCAAGACGGACCGTGGACACTTTTCTTTACACAAAAAATCTAACAAGTCTTTGCACTTAATAGCTCCAATAGTTCAATCCGTGGGATTAACTCCAACCAAACTCTAAGCAAAGTCTACGTTACAGAAGGTCTTACCCAAGGAATTTGGTGAGCGCTGAGCAACATATCACAGTGGCGCCTTATTCTTGGCTAAATTATCTAGTCTTGTTTTAATTTAGTTCTCGCGGGGACTGCGGAACACCAGAGCATAGGGACTTTTTCGTGTTGATAACTGATAAGTCATATGCTTTTTTGTAAAATAACATCATCATTGAAATCATAAATGTGTGGGAGAAATACTTCATTGCGTACTCTTTCGTGCTAGTTAATTTCGTGTTTGTCGCGACTTTTGTCATCAAAATAAAACAAAAATGGCAAAAATCAGACAAACATTTCAAATTAGTCACACTGACGTCAATTGTGCGCTGTGCTATTTATGTTGTCCGAACTAGCCTCCCCCGCCCCCCCCCCCTAGGTAGGTAGTTGCTCAGTATGTTGGTTGGCTGACTGTTCGAACAAGTTCACCAGGTGGTACCGGTGTTGATCCCCGAGAAAAAATCTCCAGCGATCGGTCAGATGATTAAGTCGTTGCCATAATCTTGGCTAAATAATGGCTGAAATGTTTTTAATTGACAAGAAAGTTACACTAGATAAGCCCTTAAGAGGAAGTGTTACAAAATACGATAAAGCATTATTACAATTCACGACGGCTAGCCTTATTACAAATTACGACAATCTGTTATTATAATTTACGATAAGCTGGTTATTACAGTTCTCGACAACTGTTATTACAATTTACGATAGGTATTACAAATTACGACAGGTATTACAATTCACGACATTATTACAAATCACGACAGAACACGCCCTTCATATAAACTTCGGCTTGCCCAGCCGGGTCAACTCGTTCAAGGCGCAGAGTATGCGCGGTCGTTTTTTTAGACAATCAAATATTGAACGGTTGAACGACGTCTCCGGTCAAATTTTTCAGCCGGTCGAAAATTCGTCCTGTGCCAAGTGAACTTAACCTGAATATCGTGACCTTATTAAGATTTGATACCATAGTGTATTTTCTTCTTCTAGATGACAATGAAATCAGTGACAGAGCAAAGACCGCAAAGGACCCTCTTGGGGTAGAAGTGTTGTTTGGGGCCTTCAGTAAATGGGGCTACCAGACCCTCTTCCAAGAAGACCTTTGTTGGTACGACTACTGGGGTATTGGATTGACAGACCTTCAAGTAAGAGGACGCCCTGATGGAGATTCTGAATTTAAAGACAGGTACCGTATCTTTGTAAATATATTACATAAGTTAAGAGAGGAAGGTACGAATGCTATGACAACATTTCTGAAGAGAGAATAGGGAACTTAAGCAGCGACGTTTTTGAGCGACGAACGTCAACCGGAAGTGAGCTTTTTTCGCTTTTAATATGCCATGACGCTACCAAATTTTTATTGCTCAGTGTCTTTACTCTTATCGAGACGATTTGCCGAAGAATTTGTTCCAAATCACGGTCGAAGGGTACAAAAAGTCCACTTCCGTCGCCCAAAAACGTCATTGATTGACTCCCTAATGGCGCCATAGTATTTAGCTCACTTATAAAAACACGGTATCTTTTTTTATATTGAAAGGTTAAAACACAGTAAAACACCGTTAATACGGACACAGAGGGGGCCACAGAAAGTTTCTGTATTAACGGATGTCCGTATTAAGCGGGATCTGATTGTAACTTAGTTGTTTGTTTGTTTGTTTTTTTCGATTATTAACTCGGTGAGAAGTTGGATTCAGTTTGTACTGTTAACGATGGTTGTTTTAGTGCCTATGTTGTGAGTGCTACTGAGAAAAGAAATTGTATCGAGAGCATTATTAAAGCGCTCATAACGTAAAACGTGTTATTTTCGTAATATCTAAAAGTAAACACTACTAAGAGAACTTCTGCAAAAAAATGTGATTTGGAGAAACGTGATTTTTTTGGCGAATATTTGAAGTCTTTTGTTTTAGGTGCTACCACTCAGGCTACTCAAGGCATGACTATCTAACTAAATTTGCATATTTTGATTAAATGCTTTTTAGAACGGTTTGCCTCTATCAATGATCCTGAAAATTGGACTACTAATGTAGCTTAATTGCCTTAGCATTATGAGATAATTTAGAAGTTCAAATTTTTGTCACGTGACTTATAATTGAGAATTAACAGTCAAACTACCGAAAATTCCGAAAATAAGCCCCTCCATGTATAAGCCCATCCAAATATAAGCCCCCCAAGCCGGTAACGCAAAAAACCCTCCGTTAAATCGCCCCTGCAAATATAAGCCCCCCAGGGGCTTGTACTTAGAAAATTGCCCTCAAATACAAAGTAAAACAAAGCAAAAACGGTAAATTTATTTTCAAATATAAGGCTAGCCCAATCAATTTTGAAACGCAAATTTCCCTCCGTAGATAACCCCCTCCGAATATAAGCCCCTCCAAAAATAAGACCCTCTAAAAGGGCCTTTGAAAAATATAAGCCCCGGGGGTTATTTTCGGAATTTTACGGTATTTACTCTAAAATGGGGAAAGGATAATGAGAGAGCAAAAAGTTCTTTTAGGTATATTTCAGAGGCTATTATGTATGTGTGTTTACGTCTTATAGGAATCGGTAAATAAAGGGAAAAGGATCACGTGACTTGTTAATAAGTTAATAAATAGCTAATAGGATAAATAACATTTCCAATCATACAAGGCGAATTTTCGATTTTCACTGTTTATGTAACATTTTGGTGGTGAAAATTCCTAAGAGTAAGCCTAACAACCCTTTCCCGTTTAGGAAAACTTGTTTTGTGACGTCATTGACGAAGCAATGTTACGTGGTATTTGAAATCACGTTTTACGTGTTTTTCTCATTGAGCCACATTTGTAGTTCACTTTTCAGGATCACTGATGGAAGCAAACCGGTTAAAATAGCATTTGACAAAATATGTATATTTAATTAGGTAGTCATACCTGAAGTGGCCTGAGCATGACAAAAAAACTCTATTCGCTTACAGGTGGAGTGAATTCCAAAATCGAGTGAGTACAAAGCATATTGACGACTTTGGCCTGTCACATTTTTCCTGCACAGTATTAAAAAAATACAGCATGACAAACCATTACGAGACTCCACCTCAGGTTTGTCTAAACGGAGAGTTTTACAGTCAGTATTTCCTGGATTACATAACGAAAGTTTACTCTGCCATGAACAAAGACAAAAAGGCCAAATCAATGCTGTCCTTTCTGCACTTTAACACTGGACACGAGTATACTGGGGTACGAATGATCAACATGGATGCTAACTTGGCAAAGTTCTTGAATAATATAGTTCAGAGTCCGGACACTCTTACTGTGATTTTTTCCGACCATGGCAATAGGAATACTTAGTATAGTTATACTGACGAAGGGAGAAGAGAGACTTTTGATCCAATTCTGTTTATGATAATTCCAGACCAAGTGGCTGAAAAGCTCGGCCATCAGCGAATGACGGCCCTGGTTGAAAACCAAAAGCGTCTATTTACGTTGCTGGACCTACATAGAGCACTTGTGTCTTTAAACCATCCTGAACTAATAAACTCCCAGAATTCCACGGCAGTAGGGATATTTTCTGTTTTACCAGCAAACCGCACATGTGCAGATTTGCAGTTGATGCCGCTGACCAGGTGCAAGTGTGAAGGGTTCGACGATTATAGTCGGGCAGAGGACAACTCAAAAAACCACAAATGGCTAGCAGAGTTTGCACTCGGGACCTTAAATGATGCCATACAGACACAAAATTTAGGAGGCACATGTAATAGTGAGCTCATTTAAGAAGCAACTACCACGATGAGGTCAGGGTAACGTCACTAAAAAGTAAATTCCGTTCTTCAAAGTCGTCATTATTCTGTCTGTGACATTTTCCATTTTCCTACAGATTAATTGTTAAGGGAGTGCATTCAAGTTTTAAAAGACAAAGGAAAATTCATTGTGGTGTAATTACGTCCGTTATTAAACGTCTAACTAGCAAATTTCATTCGAAGTTGGGCGGAGGAAACCAAAAAAAACAAAAGTGTGATGGACTGGCAAATCTTGTTTTGCCGGAAAAAAATTTGACGTTACAGCCTCTTATTGATTTAGATGGCGCCCAAGGTTATTCACTTAACTCATAGAAATCGCCAAATTGTTTTGAAGCTCAAAGAAAACGATCTTTACGCTGGGGCGAGCAAATTGTAAAACATTTTCTACTTACACTGGTCATAAAAGACACCGTGATCCGGTCTAAAACAGTAATAACGTGCGAACGTGCCTACCACTGAATATTAGGGAGTTTATATTAGCAAAGGCGGTTTTGAATTTTGATTGAAGTACGTCAACCGGAATTGAGGCGTTTTCCCCTTTAATATATCCTAAAGCTGCCAAATTCGTAATGCTTAGCATCTTCGCTGTTATAGAGACTACTTCCGGTTATAGGACACTTCCGGTTGACGGGTGTCGCTCAGAAACGTCTTCCCTAAAACTCGGTATTGATTGTTTAACGAGTTGTTTCGTACGTTTTTTACAGGTGCTGGTGAAGTTGTAACCTCGTCCCAAAGGTATGGCTATGGAAGCTGTCAGCGCTTGGTGGGGAAATTATTTACTAATATTTTGCAACGTTTTCAAGGAGACTACATCTTGACGACAATGGATCTCCTCGTGGTCCCTCCAACTGGTTTTACAGAAGACGAAGTCTTTAAAGTTTCTTTGAAAAACTATGCAAAGCCGGAAGACAAAGTTTGGTTGACAAGTTATACTCGGCAGTCCAGATATAGCAAGTTTGAGGCATGCACAGACAAGTCAGTTGACGTTAGACTTTGCGCATGCGCTATTGATCAAACTAATCTTGCTGCATCAGTCAGCAATGGTGTTTCAAGTAAAACGTTTGGTTCGGAGACCGTTGTAAAAGACCTCCACTCAGGATGTCTTTTGTTTCTGAGACGGGATCACGGATTAACCTCTTTAGCGTTGGAAGTAGCAAACGTATGCTACAATAGCACTTACAAATTTAAACTGGACGGTGGAGGATCAGAGAGACTTTTTTCTAAAACCCTTCCCATAAATGTTGAATTGCTACCCAGGACATTTTATTTTCTAACATCCATTACGAAGTATGCGTCGAAATTCACCTATCAATTACATTTTACAGCAAGTGTTGAAGTTAAAAATGACAATTCTGAAGATTTTATAAACTTGGGAGAACATGACGTGTCGGAGTAACTAACAAGAACAATGAATCAGACTATTTTTCCATAAATTCACTCATCATACGGCATAAAAGCAGCCTTTAAGAGTGATTTTACTTAAGCCGTGGAGCAGGTAGTAGAATACTACCCACTATTATGGACTAATTCCATTGTATTCTTTTGTTTACCTCTTGTTATTTTGCACTAGTTTTTAGTATCTGTTTCACGGTTCAAGTAAAATCACTTTATTTTGTTTCTCAACTATGTAAAATAAGAATATTTATAAAATAGGAATCTAACATTTATTTTTTAGAACCTGATAGCTGCTGGTTCAAGCTTTCAGTTTTAAGAAGGTTTCATTGAACTCTTTGAGAATGTACATGTGGCGCGGGATTGGGTTTTTAACGGAAGAGAAGATAATGGCCACGAAAGTGGCGAAGATTCGTTGAAAGGGACGACAGAACCTACAACCGTAACCCCAATAGTTTCTCAATTTCCTTCCCACAACTCCTCAAGTGACGCTCTTCAAATTGAAAATCAGATTACAGATAAACAACTGAGTACAAGCCTAGAAGTAAGAAATTAAAAGATATTTTTATCAATTGAGTTGATGGAATTCACGTTTCAGAGAGTTTCAGAGCGAATAAAGAAGGGTTTTAATTTGCGCTCAAAACGTTTGACGCTGACCTTCCTTTTCTTTTCTCAAGCTCAGTTTTACCTCATTATTGCTTGTGCTTCCGCTCGAGCACCAACACAACCCTATTGTCACTAGACAAACTAACTTCTGTAGTTAATGTTGGCATGCTTTGTCGTGACAACAATAGACGGTTTTCTGCAGGTATGTACCACATGTTACTGAACAAAGCAAACTCTCCGGTCCTCAGGAATAATTTCAGGCACGGGAACCAAGTTCCATCTTATCTCACTTGTTTTACTTGAAAACAGTTTTTTTTTTAAATTTCTTTTTCAACGGCGTTTTTAAGGTGCATAGGCGTCTTAATGTGATATATGCTGACCGTGGCAATACAAAAACACAGTTAATAGTTATACTCAGGGAGAGAGAAGAGAGGCAAACGCTGTTTATGAAAACTCGAAAGGGGGTTGCTGAGAAGCTTTGCTAGCAGAGATTGGTGGCACTGGTTGAAAATCAGAAGAGTCTCTTAGTAAAACAAAAGCTTTAGTTTCTCTTCATCTTTCTTCACTTAATGTAATATATGCTGACCATGGGAATCCAAATACACAGTCCAGTTATACCCAGGACTGAAGAGGCTCTTATGGAGTTTATGAGAATTCCCGACGGAGCTGCAGACAAGCTTGGCCAGTAGAGAAACAGCTTTGAAAAATGGCAGAACTGGTTGAAAAGCGCCTCTGCGTAAAACAAAAGTTTTAGTTTCTCGTTATCTTTCTTCACTTAACAGAAAACAATCTTTTGGCTTCTTTCTTTTACTATCCACTTAAGAAGAATTAGTGGATAGTACCTACGATTGCAAAACTAAACGAAATGCCACTTTAACCGGCCAGGAAGAAGAAGGAGATGTTCAGTTAGAGGTATCTAGCTTTGTTTTGTTATATTTTGACTTTTGGTACAAGTTAAGTTCATGGGAGTTTCGACGATCCATCCCATTTTGTCCATGTGAATATTAATATATTGACACACACTACGTCCGGGCCGCTTGTGGAGTCTGCGGCGTAAGTTACGGTAGCAAATACTACGACCTCCATAAATCTCGTAAAGGAAATTTCTACTCCTTGTTTACGTTTCTTTTGAGTCGAGATGATTAAAAAAAAATTGCCCATCGAAAACAATTGAACGTTCGGAAATCGAACACTTAAACAATCGAACATGAAACCAGTTTCATCTGGTTTCAAACAAGGCCGACTAATGTAAGTAAATTGCTGGGTTGTTTATAACCTCACTTTACGGTCTTTAAGAGACCAATGGAAGCGCTCAACTTTATTATTCTTGCAAAGTTACATATAATTCGATTCACCAAGAAAATCAGGATTAAAGGAAGTAATTTCCATGGCCAACTCTTTAGAGTCTCAGGCTGAAGAAGACGAGAGAGAGAGAAAAAAGGAATATTCCTCTTGAGCCCCCAACAAATCACGGCACGTAAATACAGTAAAACCCGCAACTAAGAACCTAAAAATTAAGAACCTGTTAGACTAAAATTGGTCATTTATACCCCCTATAAACAAGAATTTAGCCTAAGAAATTTAAAACAGGTTCTTATTTTCTAAAATCATACTAGTACATTACAGCTGCATTGCAAGAATCATATTTGAAGCAAAAAAAAGCAGATTGCCATTGTTGTAAAAATGCTTTTTAAAGAAAAATGAGTGCAAGATATGTGGGGGGTGGGGTGGGGCTGAAGAAAATAAAAATATAGGCTAATGACCAACTTGTTTGCAGCTGTGTTTTAATTGTTTTTTCTTCATGATTAAGAACCCATTTTAAGAACCTATATAGCCTAAAATTCTGGTAACTACCATTTATATAAGAACCTGTTTAGGCTAACTCCTTAAAAATGTAGGTTCTTAGTTGCGGGTTTTTACTGTAGTGCAAGCAAAAACACAATTCTCGGTTTTCACTCACGTGAGAAAGCAGAAATAAAAATGGAAACCTTTTAATACAGAAAGTCTAGAATCTGGGAAATGAAAGAAGACAAATATACAAAAAGCCTAGCCAAGAATCAGGTCTCTGTAATGGTTCATATGCGAGATATTCGGAAAAACGTTTTACCCAAATTTATAAAGCTTTGTATGGAGACGCCATGTTTGTGTCCCTTTCAGTCTTTCAGGGGCACCGAATATGGCCGCTGGAAACCAACAGAAACATCTGTTTTTTAGTTTCCCTACTTTTGCGTGAATTCTTCGCTTGAGGAACTCATAAAGATTAAGGCAATATTTATTCTAAGACAAGGAATGTTTAGATAGCAAAATCTCCAAAAATCCGTAATGTTTTTAACCCACTTAAGAGCTTTCCCGACCGCCAGCCAAACGCCGCGTCACGCAAAAGCCTGGAAATTCAAGCGTCCTGTATCGCAAAACAAAGAACCCTATTGAACCGAAAATTTGTTTGTATAAAGGTTTTAAGGTGCTCTAATATCACATGAAAGTAGAAACTCAGAAGAAGCGATAGTTTCTTAGTTTGAATTTTGGTGACGTCAACTGAAAACCAAGAATACTCACAGCGTGAAATTCGGGCTTTGCACTCTCAGAAACAAAGGTGCTGAAGTATGGAAGGCGATAATGTTTCTAATGCTGGGTTTTTATACGGAGCGTGGGAAGAAGGTTTTCACCCTATTCTTTCTACCATCAAAACTAAGCAGGTACTCAGCCTAATTTGTTTAAACCTTCATTTTGAACTAGCTTAAAATGTGTGTTTTTCCAAAGGATATGCATGTAACATATGTGCTGTTTTGTCATCTTTTGTTATTCAATAAGTTGTCATATAATGAGGCTTCCTTCTGCAATCCCGCACTTTTGCGGGAACCCATGGAATTTCGCTCCAGTGTCAAAAAATATCTGCATTCACTTAGTTAGTTGGATTGCACCAATAACTATGATGGCACATTCTGCCGTTTGTATAAATTTATTGAGCTTTTTGCCACAGTTTTCAACCCTCACCCTATCTATTCGATTCTGTGCATTTTGTGGGTTATCCACAAGTAGACAAAATTGCGAGATGCGATGCCTGAAGACTTCCCTGCGTCTTTCCCAATTTGTAGGAGAGGAGAAATACAATGTTGTTCCTTTTCTGTTTATAAATTATCGTATTTATATGGCACTAGCTCGATGAGACAACGAAAACGATTCTTATTTACGTTTGACGTAAATACAGAAATAACCTGCGATCAGGCCTCCCAAAGAAAATGGGGAAATCTACTTAAAGACCGCCTGATCTCAGGTTAATGAAGAAAAATTAGATATCGAGAGAGATTCCCTCCCTGCCCAGGATATCATCCAGCAAACATAAGCAGAATTGTTTACTTCTTTCCTTGTTAGCGTATGCTTCATCATTTTTTAAACGACTTTTAAAAACCGTTAGCACCGAGTGTGAATTTATTTGCAGCATACGCGTTTCAGCCGAATGCGACTGCTGGACGCAAATACTGCAAATGAATTCTCTTGTTTCAGAAAAAATTTACCAAGCATGTTTGTGCTAACAGGGGTCTTTTTTGCATGAGCATGCGCGACCGCTGAACAAGCGATGTGCATGGAGGCTCACCACAGGGTTTACCTTCATCAAAATGGCGCGTCTCAAACCTATCATAGCTATTATTTTGCTCGTTGGTCTTGGCGAATGTGCTCGTGATTTAACAAAATGTGTAGTTTGCAAAAAAAACTCTAACATGGTCTTGACAAAAGCGAAGTAGACCGGCTTTAACATACACGAGCTACTATCAAATTTCATCTCCCCACTTGACCTAGACAACAGCGCGCGTATATGTAGTGCCTGGAGGATTGCGCTGACCTCATCAATATCCAAGCAAAGAGCAGAAACGTTTGTTGATGCAATAAACACTTTCAATTTTCTTTGTTTTGAAATGGGAAAGGAAGAGAAATATTAAAAAAAAAAAAACAGCAAATGTCAGCGAGAGGGTTTGAAGTGCGCGAAAGCCGATGTTCAGTTCAGCAGTGAATTAATATATGTTCTACAATTTTCCCAGCACTTTAAAGCTACAAAATTAAGAGCACACGAGATGTAGATTAGTCACCTGGTGAGATGTTGGTGGTAGTCACTCTGTATGTCTCGAACAATAAAAAAAATGAATATCAATGAGGCACAGTCAAAACTGCATTCAATAGGACCGAAATTAAAGTCCAATCTTGTGACCGATTTTGATGAAACAAACAGTTAGGTTTCCCAAGAAGTACAGTAAACATGTGATGCCGACCAAAAGTTAAAAATCATTAGAACATTTAAGTCCTGGCTAAAAGCAAATTCCTGTAAAAGATGCGTTACAATGTTAGTCCACTCAAAAACAAGAATTTCTACAATTTTCCCATACACAAACTTTGTATAGCTAA